CCATAGCCCTGATCAACCCCACTCCCCCTCTCTCCCCATAGACCTGATCAACCCCACTCCCCCGCTCTCTCCCCATAGACCTGATCAACCCCACTCCCTGCTCTCTCCCCATAGCCCTGATCAACCCCACTCCCCCACTCTCTCCCCCACTCCCCCGCACTCTCCCCATATGTGCAAATTGTCTGCCACATCTGCCTACAAAATACACAGTCACTACACTTCAGGAGGGAGCAAGCACTAGCACAGAGCAGGGGAGCGGGCCCAAATGTATTCCCTCGAGTTTAAAAGGTTGGGAGGGTGATCAAAATTAGGTATTTAAAATGATAAAGGGATTCGATAGCATAGCTACAGACACACTAGTTCCTCTGGTGGGGAATCCAGAACAAGGGGCATCATCTTAAAATTAGAGCCATTTAGGAGTGAAATCAGGGGCAGTTTGTCACACAATAATTAGTGGGAATCTGGAAATCTCTCCCCCAAAAGGCTGTGGGTGCTGGATCCATTCACATCTTCAAGACTGAAGTGGATAGATGTTTGTTAGGTATTAAAGGATATGGGGCAAAGGTGGGTAAATGGAGTTGAGGTACAGATCAGCCATGATCTAATAGAATAGGGGAATAGGCTTGAGGGGTTGAATGGCCTCCTGTTCTACGTTCCCAAGTGCTAAAAATGAGGTCAGATGAACCACTCAAGTGTTGGAGTGGGAGGCTGGGCTCATCTCTCTGATTATCATGAGGTAAAATGTGTCTTTTATGCTGTTCACATTCGGTGCCGGAAATAGGATTCCAGTCATCTGTCCCCTGTTTCCTTTTGCGGTCACATAGTTTTGGTGTTTCATTTAATCATGTTTTAAAGATAATTTTATCTCTGTTCTAAATACTTCCCCGCCACACACTCACACCACACACTCAAACCTATGCACAAACTTGCACACACAGACCCACTCACACATATCTACACACATGTGGAGTCCTGTAACTCAGTGGTTAGAGCACTCGCTTTGCAAGCGAGACACCTGGGTTCAATTCCAGGCGAAACCTTGGGCAAGTTTCCTTACTCCACACTGAGCCTAATAATAATCCCTCCAAAAACCAAAAACAATAATAAATTGGTCATTTTCAATCTACGACCGTTTGTGGGACATTGCTGTGCGCAATTGGCTGCCGCGTTCGCCCACAAATATACAGTCAATTCACTTTACAGTGTGTTCTGTGAAGTGCTTTGGGACGTCCTCCCGACGTGAAAAACGCTATATCAAATGCGAGGATTATTATTATTATTATTATGCTCACATGCATACACACTCACACGATGGGGAGAGAGCAGGGAATGTGATTAGAGTAGAGAGCTCCAGTGGGGGAGCGAGCACCAGCACAGACATGATGGGGAGAGAACATTGTTTAGGCCTCAGCGAGAGACTGTGTTCAGTTCTGGGCCCCACACTTTAGGAAGGATGTCAAGGCATTGGAGATTGACCAGGATGGCACCAGGAATGAGGAACTTCAGTTATCAGGAGAGGTAGAGAAGCTCGGATTATTCTCCTCGGAGCAGAGAAGGTTAAGAGGAGACTTAATAGAAGGTTTCAAAATTATGAGGTGATTCGATAGGGGGAACGAGGAGAAACTATTCCCACTGGCGGTGGGTCGGTAACCCGAGGACACCCATTTATAATAACTGTTAAAAGAAACAGAGGGGCGGGAAGGAGAAATGTTTTCACACAGCGAGTTGTTGGGATCTGGAATGCATTGCCTGAAAGGCCGGTGGGAACCGATTCCATAACATAGGGGAATAGGCTTGAGGGGCTGAATGACCTCCTGTGAGTTTTGTGGGCGAAACGTGGCAGCCGACCACACACAGCAACGCCAACAAACAGCCATGGAGTGAGCGACCGATTTTATTTGGGGGATTGTTGGCCAGGGACACCGGGAGAGAGAAACTCCCTTCTGTTTTCGAATTGCGCAGCGGGATCTTTAATGTTCACCTAAAGGGACAGATGGGACCTTGGTTTAATGTCTCATCTGAAAGAAGAAGACTTTATCTGGAGAATTGTCGGCCAGGACACCAGGAAAAATTTGGCTCAGTCCCCCTAAAAGATCCAGATGGTTGAAATCTCCTGTTTCTCTGGTTATAAAGAGCACTAGGGTACTGTGTTATAATAATCCTTGTTTTTGATACAGCGCCTTATCATGTCTTCTAGACATCTCAAAGCGGTTCACAGAATATACTGTGAAGCAGAGCGACTGTATATTTTGTGTTCAGTTATGGGCATCTAACCTCAGCTTCCTCAGTCACACTCATACTCTGAATCAGAAGGTTGGAGTTTCAAGACCCAGATCAGAGACTTTGAGCTCACAGTCCAGGCTGACACTCTAGCGCAGCTCTGGGGGATGGGGGGAGAGAGCTCCGCATTGTCAGAGACACCATTCTTCAAATGAGATATTAAACCTCATTCATGTGCATGTTAAAGATCCCGGGACACTGTTAGAAAAGAGAAGGGAGTTTCTCTCTCTCTCCCGGTGTCCTGGCCGACAATCCCCCAGATAGAATTGGACATTCACTTTATAAGCTGTTTGCGGGATGTCACTGTGCGCAAATTGGGCTGCCGCTTTGGTCGACAAAACACATGGTCACTACACTTCACAATGTGACCCCATCACTCCCACCCTCGCTCGACTCCACTGGCTCCCCATCCCTCAGAGGATCAAGTTCAAGATCCTCGTCCTCACCTTTAAGGCCATCCATGGCCTTGCCCCCTCCTACCTCTCTGACCTGCTGACTCCATACCCACCTGCCCCCTCCCTCCGTTCATCGGGCTCCGGCTGCTCCATGTCTCCTGCCCGACCCGCCCTACCATCGGTGGCCGGGCTTTCAGCCTCTCTGCCCCCACACTCTGGAACTCCATCCCACGGTCCCTTCGCCTCGCTTCCTCCCTCGCCTCCTTCAAGGCCGGTCTCAAGACCCTTCTCTTCGATTGTGCCTTTGATCTCCCTCCCACCTCTCTGTCTTCCCTCACCCCTACACCACCCCTCCCCCATGCTCGGGCCCCGACACCTCACTGTTCAGCACTTTGGGACGTCCTCCCGACGTGAAAGGCGCTCTATAAATGTCATTGTGTTGTTGTTGTTGAATCCTGCGAAGTGCTTTGAGACGTCCTCCTGGGTTGAAAGGTGCTGTATCAAATATGAGGCTTATTATTGGAGTCCTGTAGCTCAGTGGTCAGAGCACTCGCTTTGCAAGCGAGAGACCTGAGTTCAATTCCAGACAGGGCGAAACCTTGGGCAAGTTTCCTTACTCCACACAGAGCCTAATAATAATCCCTCCAAAACCCAAAAACAATAATAAAAATTGGTCATTTTCAATCTACGACTGTTTGTGGGACATTGCTGTGCGCAATTGGCTGCCGCGTTCGCCAACAAATATACAGTCAATTCACTTTACAGTGTGTTCTGTGAAGCGCTTTGGGACGTCCTCCCGACGTGAAAAGCGCTATATCAAATGCAAGGATTATTATTATTATTATATTATTATTAATTATTTATTATTATCATTAATGTTTCCACCTTGTGGTGACTCTGTCCCTTTAAGAAGCGTCTCAGCTTTGCGTGACATCAAGATGAGCTCTGTGGTCTACACAAGTCACACAGCAGTCTCTCAGAAAGCACAGTGCATTAAAGTATGGCTTGGAGGACGGGGAAAGGGGGAGGGGAAGAGTTTCTCATTTCCCCTGTTAATGGTCGGGCAACCCCTGGTGAATGGCACACTGAGAAATCCTATTCCCCTGCTTAAGAATCTCCAAACACGGTTTTAATGGAGGAGATAGGAAGACACTGTTTCCTCTGGCGGGTCAGTCACTAGAGGACACACAGTTAAGATAATTGGCAAAAGAACCAGAGGGGAGACGAGGAGAATATGAGGGGTACACACATACACAGGCACACATGCACTCGCACACACACTCACAGACACACACGCAACCACACATGCACACCCATGAACACACAGACACACACATTCTTCACACATTCACCCACATACAGACACATACATGCACCCACACATTGGCACACACACAAACGCACGCATAGCAAGCGTGCACACACACAAACGTACACACACACAAGCGTACACACACACAAGCGTGCACACACACAAGCGTGCACACACAAGCGTGCACACACACAAGCGTGCACACACACACAGACATGAACACACATATGAAAATAAAATAATGTCACTATATTGCCACCTTGCTGGCCTTCCCTGGGCTCCTGTGCTGGTCTGGCTGAGGGAGGCGCTGGCCTTTGGCTGAGGGAGGCGCTGACCTTTGGCTGAGGGAGGCTCTGGCTGAGGGAGGCTCTGGTGCTGGCGGAGGGAGGTTCTGGCACTGGTTGAGGGAGGCTCTGGCTGAGGGAGGCTCTGGTGCTGGCTGAGGGAGGCTCTGGCTGAGGGAGGCTCTGGCTGTGGGAGGCTCTGGCTGAGGGAGGCTCTGGCGCTGGCTGAGGGAGGCTCTGGTGCTGGCGGAGGGAGGTTCTGGCACTGGTTGAGGGAGGCTCTGGCTGAGGGAGGCTCTGGCGCTGGCTGAGGGAGGCTCTGGTGCTGGCTGAGGGAGGCTCTGGCGCTGGCTGAGGGAGGCTCTGGTGCTGGCTGAGGGAGGCTCTGGCTGAGGGAGGCTCTGGCTGAGGGAGGCTCTGGCGCTGGCTGAGGGAGGCTCTGGCGCTGGCTGAGGGAGGCTCTGGCTGAGGGAGGCTCTGGTGCTGGCTGAGGGAGGCTCTGGTGCTGGCTGAGGGAGGCTCTGGCTGAGGGAGGCTCTGGCTGAGGGAGGCTCTGGCGCTGGCTGAGGGAGGCTCTGGCGCTGGCTGAGGGAGGCTCTGGTGCTGGCTGAGGGAGGCTCTGGCTGAGGGAGGCTCTGGCTGAGGGAGGCTCTGGTGCTGGCTGAGGGAGGCTCTGGCTGAGGGAGGCTCTGGTGCTGGCTGAGGGAGGCTCTGGCTGAGGGAGGCTCTGGTGCTGGCTTCCTGGTTGTGTGCTGCTCACTGCTCTGTGAGTTTTGAGGCCTGACCACAGACACAGCATCAGTGAAGATTTCCTTTGAAAAGCACTGAGTAGGAAGCGGTGGGGAGCGGGTGCCCCACCCAAGCAGAGAGAAGTGACACACGCTCTTTTTCTCTCTCTCTCGTTCCTTCCCTTCCGCATTTCGCACCGCACAGGCCGGTTCCTCCCTCTGTTCCAGCTGGAGATGGCTGACCAAGAGAGCCTGGAGTTTGGCAAGTCTGACTTTGTGCTGCTGGACAATGTGACCACAGAGGAGTTTCTAGAGAACCTGAGGCTGAGGTAGGTTTGGGTGGCACCTGACATAGGCACCGAGGCAGGTAGTCCCAGGCTACACATCAGCTCCCAGAGGTTCACAACATTATTGTGATTGGCTGCTGGGTCTGTTGGGGTATGGGGGTGGGAGGGGGAGGAGAATTAATGTTTTTTTGTCCATCTGGGAGTCTGACACGTGTGGAAACCCATCACCTGCTTAAAAGTCTCCAAACAAAGCTGAGAACTCCATGCCTCCCATTTACACATGGAGATCCCAGAGATAGATTGTTGGAATGGAATACCCTCTCTCTCTCTCTCTCTCCCTGGAGGGACACATCCCGCTTACCTAATTCCGGAGAGTATTAGGCACAGGTTAGCGAGAGCCAAGGCTTGGGGGGGACCCCAGAGTGTGTGTTGGGGTAACTGCTGGAGTGTAACCGGCTAAACCCACACAGCTCGGCCATTGATGGGATGTTTGGAGAGTTGCAGTTGGGAATGCACTATTCTCTCACAAACTGTTAGATAATAATAATCGTTGCATTTGATACAGCGCCTTTCACGTCAGGAGAACATCTCAAAGCGCTTCACAGCATTTCACTGTAATTGGTGTTTTGTAGGTGAAAGGGGCAGCCACATTTACACTCAGTGACAGCCCCCCAAACAGCACTGAAATGAATTAGCGATTTTATCTGGGGGATTGTCGCCCAGGACACAGAGAGAAAGAAACTCCCTTCTCTTTTCCAACAGAGCCGCAGGATATTCGTGGAGTCCTGTAGTTTAGTGGTTAGAGCACTCGCTTCACAATAATAATAATCCTTGCATCCTTGCGAGAGGACCTGGGTTTGATTCCCAGCAGGGCAAAACATTGGGTAAGTTTCTTTCTCCGCATATACGCCTCTGTTTACCCAGTAGTGAGTAGGAATCCGGTTGTAGTCGATTGGCGGATCACCTTACTGGGGGTAATAATTCCTTCAAAAACATAATAATTTAATCACTCGATTCACGGCTATTTGTGGGATGCTACTGTTCGCAATTGGCTGCCACGTTTCATCCACAAAATACACAGTCACTACATTTTACAGTATATCATGTGAAGTGCTTTGACAAGTCCCAAAGACCTGATAAGGCGCTATATGACATGCAGGGATTGTTATTATTATAGGTCAGGATATCCAGAGAAACTCCCTTCTCTGTTATAAAGAGCATTGAGCCTTTTTTTTGTGTGAAAGGCACTGTGTAGATACAAGTTATTATTACAGGTGAGGATAAAGCGAGCAGTGATAATGTGTTTAACACTCTCACCAACTCTACAGTATAGAGGCACAGAGTCGAGCTCAGGGGATGAACAGGGAACTGACAGCTCACAGTGACTGGGCTCAGCCTGGCTCAGCCGATTGCGTCAGAAGGTGATTGGTTTTAGTTCCTCATTGGTGACTCACAGTCTCGGCTGATGCTCCAGTGCAGTAAATAATAACAATAATCCTTGCATTTGATATAGATCACATCATCGAGACGTCTCAAAGCGCTTCACAGAATACATTGTAAAGCAGAGTGACTGTATTTTGTGGGCGAAATGCGACAGCCAGTTTGTGTACAGCAGTGCCCCACACACAGCCATGGAGCGAGTGGGCAATATTATTTTGGGGATTGTTGTCCAGGACACCGGAAGAGAGAGAGAAACTCCCTTCTCTTTTCCAATAGCCCCGCGGGATCTTTAACAATTGGCAAATGTAACCTTGGTTTAACGTTGTCTCCAACGGCCGGGCAGTGGGGGAGCAGCACATTATCAGAGATGTCATCTTTCAGATCGGGATGTTACACTGAGCTCTGGTGCTATGAGTGTGTACAGCACTGTCTGCTGTGTGTATCTCTCTGTGATTTCAAACCCCCCCTAAAAACCTGCGGTCCCAAAGTCTCAATTTTCGAAACCGGTTTGTCTTAAAATTTATGGCAGCACAAAATGAAGGATATGCTGTAATCCAGGAAGTAATCCAGCTTTTTAAGAAACTGCAAGAAAAAAAGATGGATTGAAGAATTTTTCCACAGTTCTGCCTCAACTTAATAAACTCCTGTAATCGATACAACAACAGACTGCATTTATGCAGCAGTTTCATGTCCCAGGTGCTGTAGTCAGAGATTTGGACCCCAACTGGGGGTTGGGGTCAGGAGGGGTGGAGGGTGGTTGAAGGTGCTGTCAAAAAGGAAGAATTTGAGAGGGGTCTTGAAGGAGGCCAGGGATGGGGCACGGTGGAAGAGCACTAAGGTGGAGCAGAGAGTGCAAGGAACGAGCAGGAGCTGGTGCCAGTTGAGCGGAGGCGCTGACTGGGTGGTGGATTGGAGAGTGAGGGGCTCGGAGAGGTGGGGAGTGAAGGAGTTGGAGAGGTGGGGAGTGAGGGGGTCGGAGAGGTGGGGAGTGAGGGGTTCGGAGAGGTGGGGAGTGAGGGAGTTGGAGAGGTGGGGAGTGAGGGGATCGGAGAGATGGGGAGTGAGGGGGTTGGAGAGGTGGGGAGTGAGGGGGTCGGAGAGGTGAGGAGTGAAGGGTTCAGAGAGGTGGGGAGTGAGGGGTTCGGAGAGGTGGGGAGTGAGGGAGTTGGAAAGGTGGGGAGTGAGGGGGTCGGAGAGGTGGGGAGTGAGGGGGTTGGAGAGGTGTGGAGTGAGGGGGTCGGAGAGGTGAGGAGTGAGGAGTTCGGAGAGGTGGGGAGTGAGGGGTTCGGAGAGGTGGGGAGTGAGGGAGTTGGAGAGGTGGGAGTGAGGGGTCAGAGAGGTGGGGAGTGAGGAGGTGGGAGAGGATGGGAGTGAGGAGTGGGATAGGTGGGGAGTGAGGGGCAGCCAATTGCGCACAGCAATGTCCCACAAACAGTCGGAGAGGTGGGGAGTGACCAATTTAATTATTGTTTTTAGTTTTGGGGGTCGGAGAGGTGGGGAGTGAGGGGTCAGAGAGGTGGGAGTGAGGAAGTCGGAGAGGTGGGAGTGAGGGGTCGGAGAGGTGGGAGGTGCCAGGGAGTGAAGGGATTTGAACACGAGAGTGAGAGCATCTTGAAGTGGATGTGTTGGGTGATGGGGAGCCAGTGGAGCCTGGGCCAGAGCGGGTGAGATGTGGGGATGGAGTTTGGTTCAGGTCAGTGTGTGGGCGGCAGAGTCTGAATGAGCTGATCTTGTGAACAGTGGAGCTGAGGAGACCGGCGAGGAGGGGGTTGGAGTAATCCAGGTGAGAGGGTACAAATGCATGCACGAGGGTTTTGGCTGCATTTGGGGTAAAGCACAGTCGGTGTTGGGCAATGTGGTGGAGGTGGAGGAAGGCGATTCTGATCGGGGACCATTTGTGGGGAAGGAAGGACAGTTAGCGGTCGAACCAGATGCCTAGATTGTGCACTGGTTCTGAGACGCTACCCTGTGTGGAGGGCGCTATATAAGTGCAAGGTGTTGTTCGAGTTCCAGGTGGTGGGGGCAGAAAGGCTAAAGGCCCAACCGCTGATGATACAGTGGGACGGGTGGAGGGGTATGGAGCAGGCGGGAGCAGAGGGAGCGGACAGGTTGGTGGAGTTTAAGAAGGTCACCAAGGTGGGGTGGATCAAGGCCGTGGAGGACTTGAAAGTGAGGACAAGGATTTTGAACTCTATCCTCTGGGGGATGGGGAGCAGGTGGAGCCGGGAGAGCGCAGGTGTGATGGGGTCAAGGAACCTGGTGCGGGAGAGGACATGAGCTGCAGAGTTCTGAATAATCTGCAGTTTGTGGAGGGAAGAGTTGGGAAGGTCGATGAACAGAGTTGGCATAGTTTGGAGGACGTCTTCACCATAAAGTGTAGTGACTGTGTATTTTGTAGGTTGAACACGGCAACCAATTTGCTAACAATGGGGATGGGGGCGGTGGGGGAGGGAGCTCGGTTTAACATCTTGTCCAAAGGATGGAGTCTCTGGTAACATGGTGCTGTCGTAGCTTGGTGGTTAGAGTGCTTGCCTCGCAAGCGAGAGGACCTGGGTTCGATTCCTGAGCAGGACAACACCTCAGGCAAGTTTCCTCACTCCACAAACCTCTGTTTCCCAGCAGTCAGAAGTAACCCGGGTGTTATTAAATTGGCGGATCGCTTTCCGGGAGAAATAATCGCTTATAAAAAAAAATGTGGTCATTCAATCTGTTCAATGTGGGACTATATTGTAAGCAATTCGCTGACACGTTTTGCCCACAAAATACACAGTCACTGCACTTTACAATACAAGGCATATTCTGCATATTTCGCCCACAAAATACAGAGTATATTCTGTGAGGCGTTTTGAGACGTCTCAATGACGTGATAAGGTGCTATATCAAATGCAAAGATTATTATTATTATATTCAGTATCTCCGGCTCACATTATTATCGAGCTCTCTGAGATGCTACCCCACGTGAAGAGTGCTATATAAATGCAAGTTGTTGTTCTGTAGGTTTGAGAAGAAAAGAATCTACACGTACATTGGGGAGGTGGTGGTGTCTGTGAACCCCTATCAGACCCTCGAGCTGTACGGTAAGGAAATGATCGAACATTACAAAGGCAGGGAGCTGTATGAGAGACCACCACACCTGTACGCCATCGCAGATTCTGCCTACAAAGCTATGAAGAGGAGAGGCAAGGACACCTGCATTGTCATCTCAGGTATGTGGGTCAGGCTCCATCCCCACCCCCTCAAACCACACCCAGAGACTGTCGTTGTCCCCCCACCCCACCACCGCACATAAGCACCTTTCAAGGGGGGTTAGCATCTCGGAGCAGTTAACAGTGGCACAGCATGATGCTGAGCCGGGGGGAGGGGGAGGTGACCACAAGCACAGTCGAAGAGGAAGGTGTCCAGGTGTGATCTGAAAACAGGGAAGAGGCAAGGCGGAGGGATTGGGGGAGCGAGTTCAAAGCTTCGGGGTGTAGTGACTGAAAACACAGCCGCTGATGGTGGAGCCGAGGGGACGAGGGACAGGCAGGAGGCTGGGGCTGAGCAGAAACAGCGGTTGGTGGAGTGGGGAGCAAGCACGTTGGATAGATAGGGAGGCGTGAGAGCATGATGGGATTTGAAGACCAGTGTGAGGATCTTGAAGTCGATCCGTTTGGTGATGGGAAGCTCGTGCAGGCTGGTGAGGACTGGGGTGATGGGGGTACGGAGTTTAGTGTGTGTGAGTACGAGCAGCGGAGTTCTGAATGAGTAAGGAATGGAGCTACAGAGACCGGCGAGGAGGGCATTGGAGTAGTCAAGGTGGGAGGCGATGAAAGTGCAGGCGAGGGTTTTGGCTGCGTTGGGTGTGACTGTTTTTGTACTCAAAGAAGTGGGCTTGTTATCAGGTGAAGGGGTTTGTAGATAAACTCCCCCCTTCCCATCTGTCCATCCAGAAGTCCCGTAGTGTAATGGTTAGAATATACAGTCAATTCACTTTACAGTGTGTTCTGTGAAGCGCTTTGGGACGTCCTCCCGACATGAAAAGCGCTATATCAAATGCAAGGATTATTATTATTATTATTAGAGCACTCGCCTCGCAATCGAGAGCGAAATGTTGGGTGAGTTTCCTTACTCCACTTGGGTTAGGTGTAGCCTTTGCCCCCCTCTCTGGGACGGGCTGAGGCGGATGGGTCATTGCCGGGGGAATGTTGGGGAGGGAGAGAGTGCCAGATAACGAGGGCTGTAACAGGGCGATGTCTCTTCTCCCCACCATACAGGCGAGAGCGGCGCGGGGAAGACAGAAGCCAGCAAGTACATCATGCAATACATTGCAGCCATCACTAACCCCACCCAGCGGGCAGAGGTCGAGAGGTGAGGAGATGCTGCCAACAATATCCAATCATTAATAACATTTGGGCAACATGTGCGGCATTTCTTATTAAACGCTGTGTAAACTGACGGCCACCAGGTGGCAGCACATCCCTTCCAGGTCATTTTTGGGGTTCTCTAATCCCAACTGAGATCTCCATCCATCCCATCTACACGTGGAAATCCCAAAGGTAGAGTGTTGTAATGGAATGCGGGACTCCCTTCCCTGAAGGGACACATCCTGTTTACCTAATTCTGGAGAGTATTAGGCGCAGGTTAGCGAGAGCCAAAGCTTGGGGTGGGGGGGCCCCAGAGTGTGTATTGGGGTAACTGCTGGAGTGTAACCCGCTAAACCCACACAGTTCGGCCATTGGTATCACTGTCTGGTCAGCTTTCCCGCTGCTTGTCCAGACTGTGTACAAACACACAGTCACTGCACTTTACAATATATTCTATGAGGTGCTTTGAGACGTTTGAAGACATGATAAGGCTCTATACCAAATGCAAGGATTATTATTATTATGATTATTATCTGGACTCAGCACTTTATTGTGAATAGAGCTGACTAGGCCTCAGTCCTATGGGCCCATCGCCATGGTTACAGCCGGCGGGGAACCCCCCCCCCCCCCCTATTGTTTAAACATGGCTCATTTTCTGATGCCGTTTCTCTTTTGGCATAAAAAGCGTGAAAAATACGTTACTGAAATCGAACTGCGTGTTGGAGGCCTTCGGCAACGCCAAGACTAACCGCAATGACAACTCCAGCCGCTTCGGCAAGTACATGGATGTCAACTTCGACTTCAAGGGAGACCCGACCGGCGGCCACATCTGTAACTACTTACTCGAGAAGGTGAGACCTCGTCACCCTCATAGAAACATAGGAACAGGTGGTCAGTCAAGAGACCTCTCGAGACTGTTTCCCATTCTATTGGATCATGTACCTCAACTCCAATTACTCCAAACACTCATCCACTCTGGTTCACCCGCTCTCACCTCTGGGTCAGGAGGTTTGGGGCTAAAGCTCTCATGTCGGATGAGACATTAAACTGTATCAAAGCGCTTCACAGTCTGTGCTGCTCTTTCAAAAGAGCTTCCAAGTTAATCCCACTCCCCCGCACTCTCCCCATAGCCCCGATCAACCCCACTCCCCCGCACTCTCCCCATAGCCCTGATCAACCCCACTCCCACGCACTCTCCCCATAGAACTGATCAACCCCACTCCCCCGCTCTCTCCCCATAGCCCCGATCAACCCCACTCCCCCTCTCTCCCCATAGCCCTGATCAACCCCACTCCCCCGCGCTCCCCCCATAGCCCCGATCAACCCCACTCCCCCGCTCTCTCCCCACAGCCCCGATCAACCCCACTCCCCCGCTCTCTCCCCACAGCCCCGATCAACCCCACTCCCCCGCTCTCTCCCCATAGCCCTGATCAACCCCACTCCCCCGCTCTCTCCCCATAGCCCTGATCAACCCCACTCCCCCTCTCTCCCCATAGCCCTGATCAACCCCACTCCCCCGCTCTCTCCCCATAGCCCTGATCAACCCCACTCCCCCGCGCTCTCCCCATAACTCTGCAAACTTGTCCCCAAATAATTATCTACTGCTCTCTTAAAAGCCATTATGGAATCGGTTCCCACCGGCCTTTCAGGCAATACATTCCAGATCCCAACAACTCGCTGTGTGAACACATTTCTCCTCCCCTCCCCTCTGTTTCTACTTAAATCGTGTCCTCGGGTTACCGACCCACCCGCCAGTGGGAATAGTTTCTCCTATTGCTATAGAAAACGAGAGTGGAAGTTTCTCTCCCTCTCCCAGTGTCTCGGCTGACAATCCCCGCAGATCAAATCACTCATTCATGTCACAGCCGTTTGTGAGGACACTGCTATGTGCAAATTGGCTGCTGCGTTCGCCTACAAAATACACAGTCACTACACTTTACAGGAAATCCTGTGAAGGGCTTTGAGATATCCTCCTGATGTGAAAGGGGTTGTGTCTAATTAAATTAGGATTAAAATTATTTGATTATATTAGTATTATTTTATTATTTTCGTTATTATTTTATAATGTTATTGTATTGTTTTATTATTTTTATTATTGAATTTTTGTTATTTTATCATTGCTATTTATTATTGTTCTGCTGTTGTTTTATTCCATTACTAAATTATTTCATTTAATTTTTATTCTTAATCTGTTTATTATTTACCTTTCTTAAATATTTTTTATTATATTTTATGGTATTATTTTTATTGCTTTGTGATTATTTTATGAGCATTTCGTTGTTTTATTATTAATGTTTTTATACATAATGACTTTTTATTGGGTTAGTATTAATTAGTATTAGTATTAATTAGTATTATTGGGTTAGTATTATAATGTATTGATTATTACTAATATTGTTGTTATCTTATGTGGAATCAATAAATCCTTTTGAGAGAGACTGTCCTTCATTTTAAATATTCTTCTCAATGTTGCAATGTTCTCAATGTCCCCACAGTCTCGAGTAATCATTCAGCAAGTGGGAGAGAGGAACTTTCATTCCTTTTATCAGGTAATCTCCAATGTTCCCCGGAGTTTAGGGGCAGAGTGGTCTTTGAAGATATCTCCGGAGGATTAACTGTTGCTTATTTTGCTTTCACTATCCTGTGTATCATCCTGGTCCAGTGGTACTGCCCTCTCCCTCTCTCTCTCTCTCTCCTCACCCCTCTCTCTCCCCCCCACCCCCTCTTTCTCTCAGTCAGGAGGTTGTGGGTTCAAGCCCCACGTCAGGACTTGGAATCACACAGTCTAAGCTGATGCTCCAATACAGCGCTGGGGGTGGGGGGGGGCACTGTGGGAGGTGCCGTCCTCGGGAGGAGATGTTAAACCGAGGTCCCGTCTGCCTGTTCAGGCGGATGGTAAAGATCCCGCGGGGCTATTGGAAAAGAGAAGGGAGTTTCTCTCTCTCTCCCGGTGTCCCGGACAACAATCCTCCAAATAATATTACCCACTCGCCCCACGGCTGCCACGTTTCCCTACAAAATACCGTCACTGCATTCCTGTGAAGCGCTTTGAGACGTCCTCCTGACCGGATAAGGCGCTATAACAAATGCAAGGATTATTATTGTTAGCATTATGAAGGGTTTTTGTAAAACGAGGCGCACAAAAAAAAATGTCCGCCCTCGGGTCACCATTGACATCACTTCCCGTGTGTGTTACATGACGGGGCCAAACCTGCATTAATCCTTGAATGTTGCATTGAGTAACACAAGGAAAAGCCTCAAAAAGGGAGTGAGGGAAAGGGGAGGGGGGAGTGGGAATAAATGGATAGCTCTCCGTATAACAGCTGGCCCCCCAAACACCTTCACCCCCTCATTACTATTCCCGGCTGCTCCCTAATCTCCTACCTCTTCCAATTTCAGTTGATTTTGGGGGGTTCCAAGGAACTATTGCAATCCCTGCACCTCCAGAACGATGCTGCAGCGTATGCCTTCACCAGAGAGGGCTCCTCTTCCAACGTGAGTACCACAAACACAGCGCAAAAAACAGCCTTTTTATAACCTGGAGTACAGTCCTGTGGCTCAGGGGTTAGAGCCCTCACCTCACAAGCGAGAGGACCTGGGTTTGATTCCCGGCAAGACCTTGGACAAGTTTTCTTGTTCCACGCGCCTCTGTTTACCAGCAGTGAGAAGGAATCCGGTTGTCAGTCGATTGGTGGATCGCTTTCCGGGGTTAAATAATCCCTTCAAAAAAAATTTGGTCACTCAATCCATAACTGTTTGTGGGACTCTGCTGTGCACAATTGGCTGCCGCATTCACCCACAAAATACACAATCAATTCACTTTATTCTGTTCTTTTAGACGTCTCAACAATGTGATAAGATGCCATATCAAATGCAAGGATTATTAGTTTCAATATTCCTGTTGAGACCTAAATAATATTTTGTATAAGGTAGCATTATTGCTTTCCTTTTGCCCCCTATGCCCCTCTGTATAAAACCCAGCCTGATATTAGCTTTCTGTACAGCTTCAGTAATTTGCTCTGCCATTTCAAGGACTTATGTAGCTGATCCCAAATCCCTTTGCTCCTCTGCTCCTTACAAAGAACTGCCATTCAAGTATACTTACTTACCTGTTTTTGTTCTGACCAGAATGCATCAGATAAAATTGGTCATTATAAAATGGATAAAATTGGGCTGTTTGTGGAAAAACTCTGAAGTGCTTTGAGATGTCTCTTACTCCCCTCTCCACTACCCATCACCTCCGCTCGACAGGCTCCAGCCTCCTGCTTTCAGCCACTACGCCCTAGACTCTGGAACTCTTTCCCTCAATCCCTCCGCCTTGCCCCCTCCTTTCCCATCTTTAGATCACGTCTGAAGGCCCTCTTTGACTGTGCCTGCGGTCACCTCTCACAGGCTCGGGGTCAGGCTCGGCCACTCTCAAGAACTCTGAGACTCTACCCTGTGTGAGGCGTGCTGTGTAAATATAAAGTGTTGTTGTTGTCTTGATGGTATGAAAAGGCACTGTATCAAATGAAAGGATTATTATTCTATTTACTCTCTCTTTTTTTGGGGGTGGGACCTCTTGTACATCAGTCAGTCATCAACGACAGAGGAGGTCTGACCGCAGTAATGGACGCCATGAAGGTGATTGGCTTCAGCAAAATGGAAATCGAGACAGTCTACAAAATACTGGCAGCCATTTTACACCTGGTAAGGACCTACCATTGGGCAAACCCAGAGGGGAATTAACAAGGGGGGCAAAGGGTCTTCTTCACCCTGAACTGATCTTGTGATGTTGTCCCATATGATAGTGGTTAGAGCACTTGTCTCGCAAGTGAGAGGACCTGAGTTTGATTCCCGGGCAGGGCGAAACCTTGAACAAGTTTCCTTACTCCACATGCCTGTCTTTGCCGAGAAATAAGTAGGAACCAGTTGTTAGTTGATTGGCAGATTGCTTTACCAGGGGTAACCCCACATCTGCGCCATGACCCGCTCTGCCTTCCCCATCTCCGCAACATCGCCCGACTCCGACACTGTCTCACACCGCAGCCCCCGAGACTCTCACACACGCCTTCATTACATTAAGGCTCAACTACGCAAACTCACTGCTTGTCGGCCCCCAACTCCTCCCTCCACAGGCGGCAGATCATCCAGAACTCTGCAGCCCGTGTCCTCTCCCGCACCGGCTCCATGACCCTATCACCCCCATCCTCGCCCGATTCCACTGGCTTCCCATCACACAGAGGGTACAGTTTAAGATCCTGGTCCTCACCTTCAAAGCCCTCTATGGTCTTGCTCCCCCCGACCTCTGCGACCTCCTAACCCCCTTCCAGCCTGCTCGCTCCCTCCGCTCAGTGGGCTCTGACCTGCTTCACGTCCCCCACCTTAATTGCCTCACTATTGGCGGCCGGGCTTTCCACCACTCTGCCCCCACCCTCTGGAACTCCATCCTGCAGTCCTTCCATCTCGCCCCCTCCCTCACCACCTTGAAGACCCATCCCAAGACCCTCTTCTTTGACCGTGCTTTCGATCTCCCTGCTTCTCCCCGCTCTCCCCCCTCCCCCACCCCAACCCTCGGGTCCGTAACTCTGTCTGTCCAGCGCCTTGGGAAGTTCTCCCGACTTGAAAGGCGTTTTACACTGTAATTTTGTTGTTGTTGTAATAATCCCTTCAAAAAAATAATAATTTGGTCACTCAATCCATAACTGTTTGTGGGACGCTGCTGTGTGCAATTGGCTGCCATATTTTGCCCACAAAATATACACTTAATTCTCTTTGCCATATATTCTGTGAAGCGCTTTGAGACGTCTCCAAGATAGAGAGCGATGGAGAGAGTTTCTGACAGTTGGCCAGACCGTCCTCTGACGCTGTTTGCTGTGTGTGACACAGGGGAACCTGGTGTTCAGCAGCGAGGGGGAGACCGCAGTGATTGAGCACGGGGTGTTGGTGTCACACATCGCTGAGCTGACCAAGACCGAAATCCAGGACGTCAAGAAGAGCCTCCTGTACCGCATGGTGGCCACAGGCAGCAGGGAGGTGATCGAGAAGGGTCACACCCCTCAGGAGGCCATGTATGGCAGGGACGCCATTGCCAAGGTAACCCCCCCCCACCCTCCGCCCCCGCCACTGGCACCTTCCTACCTCTACAGCCATGTGGGTTCAACTGCGGAAAATGGAACAATTTCCTGATAGGGGCATCACGTGTTAGAACCAGGGCCAGACACACAGTAACGCTCCTCTACATTGTGTGTCCACACTCCCAGGTCAGGGTTAGAGACACAGTAAAGCTCCTCTACACTGTGTGTCCACACTCCCAGGTCAGGGTTAGAGACACAGTAACGCTCCCTCTACACTGTGTGTCCACACTCCCAGGTCAGGGTTAGAGACACAGTAAAGCTCCTCTACACTGTGTGTCCACACTCCCAGGTCAGGGTTAGAGACACAGTAAAGCTCCTCTACACTGTGCGTCCACACTCCCACACCCTCACAAACACACATACACACACTCACACATTGAGACACACACATATAACCAGTAGAGGGCGCTGTAGAGGTACCAGAAGCATGAGTCCTGGCTGGTTGTTCCATCCCTGACTCTGGGACCATTCATTGGCTCTTGTCCTGTACGGTATCGCAGCCTGAGATGAGGTGGAACCTCGGCCTTTACAAAGTTGCCAGAGGCACGATGGGGAGAATGGCCTCCTTTCCTTACTGTACAATGAGGTATCAGCTTGGCTCAGTGTGTAGGTTGTGGGTTCGAGCCCCACATCGGGAGCTATGAGCTCACAGTCCAGGTTGACACTCCAGCGCAGCATTGGGGGGAGCGAGAGCGAGAGAAAGAGAGAGAGAGATGTATTGTAGATGCTGACCTTCGGATGAGACCTTTAGCTGAGGTCCTGTCTGTGCCCTGTTAAGGCGGACATTGAAGAATCCCGCGGGTTTATGGACAAAAGAGAAAGGAGTTTCTCTCTCTCTCCCTGTGCTCTGGCCAACAATCACCCAAATAAAATTGGGCACTCAATCCACACCTGTTTGTGCGGCGCTGCTGTATCAATTGGCTGCCACGTTTCGCCCACAAAATATACGGTCATTACACTTTACAATATATTCCGTGAAGCACTTTGAGATGTCTTGAAGACATGATAAGGTGCCATATCAGATGCAATGATTATTATTATTGGTGTTAAATGTACTGTGCATTCTCTCTGTCTCTCGGTGTCTCTGTCTCTCGGTGTCTCTGTCTCTCGGTGTCTCTGTCTCTCGGTGTCTCTGTCCCCCCCCCCCCCCCCCCCGGGTGCTGACAGGCTATCTATGAGCGTCTGTTCTGTTGGATTGTGAACCGGATCAACTCTGTAATTGAGGTGAAAGGTTACGACCCCCGGATTCACGGGAAGAACACAGTGATTGGCGTCCTGGACATTTACGGCTTCGAGATCTTTCAGAATAACAGGTACGAAGGCCCGACTGCCCACCCCCACACCACAGGGGTCTGGGCAGTCTGGGGGGATCTCACACTATCACAAGCGAGGTTTGGGTGAACTATCTCCTTCCAGTCTCCCTGTTCGCCCGACCTCCCACCCACCCATCTGCACATCCAACCACCAACTGACTATCCTCCCATCACAGCGTTCAGCTGTTTCTTGAACCCCATAAATCTCTTTCCCCTTTTGGCAACTTTCCATCCCGTCCATGGAATACTCTCTGCTGAAGACCTTTCTTTTCGACCCCGCCTTTGGTCACCTTCCCCCCCCTCCCGCTGGCTCCCCCCCTCCCCCGGCTCCCCCCCCTCCCCCTGGCTCCCCCCCTCTCCCCCCTCTCCTCCCGGCTCCCCCCTCCCCCTGGCTCCCCCCCTCCCGCTGGCTCCCCCTCTCTCCCCCGGCTCCCCCCCCTCCCCTGGCTCCCCCCCCTCTCCCCTGGCTCCTCCCCCCTCCCCTGGCTCCCCTCCCCTGGCTCCCCCCCTCTCCCCCAGCTCGGGCCCGGGATCGATTACTATGAAGCGCTCTGAGACGCCATCCGGCACCATTGCGCCCAAACACTCACGGACACACACACTCGCATTCACGAGTGAGTGTGACTGTGTGTATGTGTGTTAGTGTGACACACACACAACCACAGGCATACTGAGCCCCCGTTACACACACACTCACACAGACTCACACACATACACTCAAGACACTCATACCCACACACTCATACATTTACACACTCACATATTCACAACCTCAGGCACACTGAGTCACTGGCACACATACACACACTCACACTAACACACACACAACCACAGGCATACCCGGATGAGTGTGTCAGTGAGTGTAAACAACAACAACAACAACTTGGATTTATATAGCGCCCTCCACGCCGGACGGCGTCTCAGCGCTTTATAGTAAAGGATTCCCGGGACTGAGCCGGGGTGAGTGAGTGTGTGTACCGGGGGCTCAGTATGCCTGTGGTTGTGTGTATGTGAGTGTGTGTATGTATGTGTGTGTACTGGGGGCTCAGTGTGCCTGTGGTTGTGTGTGTGTGTGAGTGTGTGTACTGGGGGCTCAGTGTGCCTGTGGTTGTGTGTGTGGTTGTGTGTGTGTGTGTGTGTGTGAGTGTGTACTGGGGGCTCAGTGTGCCTGTGGTTGTGTGTGTGGTTGTGTGTGTGTGTGTGAGTGTGTACTGGGGGCTCAGTGTGCCTGTGGTTGTGTGTGTGGTTGTGTGTGTGTGTGAGTGTGTGTATACCGGGGCTCACTGTGCTGTGGTTGTGTGTGTGTGTGAGTGTGTGTACTGGGGGCTCAGTGTGCCTGTGGTTGTGTGTGTGGTTGTGTGTGTGTGTGTGAGTGTGTATACCGGGGCTCACTGTGCTGTGGTTGTTGTTCTCACAGCTTTGAGCAGTTCTGCATCAATTACTGTAATGAGAAGCTGCAGCAACTGTTCATCGAGTTGATCCTGCGACAGGAACAGGCTGAGTACCTGCGGGAGGGCATCGAGTGGCAACACGTGAGTCTGAGCCTGTCCTGGGGCAACACGGGGGGCAGGGACCCTGGGGGGGCGCGGACACCACACAGGGGAGGCAGTGGGTATCATACGTGTGTGGGGAAGCTCACACCTGGACTGAGAGAGGAACATAGAAATTCCTAAACGAAAAAAGACAGGTCCATCTGGTTGGCCTTTAGGAATCCTGTATCCAAGTGGTTGGAGCACTCGCCCCATAAGTGAGAGGACCTCGGTTCAATTCCTGGACAGGGCAAAACCTTAGGCAAGTTTCCTTAATCCACACGCCTCTATTTACTGAGCAGTAACTAGGAACCCGCTTGTTAATCGATGGCGGATCACTTTCTGGCGGTAATAATCCCCCCCCCCAAAAAAAAAAATTTGAGTCACTCAATCCACGACTGTTTGCGGGACATTGGCTGCTGCGTTTCGTCCACAAAATACACAGTCAATTCACTTTACAGTGTATCCTGTGAAGCGCTTTGAGATGTCCCGAAGACGTGATCAGGCACTGTATCAAATGCCAGGATTATTATTATATATTAAAATAAACACAAGAGCAGACACCACACGTCCTCGAGACGTCTCAAAGCGCTTCACAGAATATACTGCAAAGTGAATTGACTGTATATTTTGTGGATGAAACACGACAGCCAATGTCTCACAAACAGTCGTGACCAAATTATTATTTTTCTAAGGAATTATTTCCCCCGGAAAAGCGATCCGACAATTGACTAACAACCGGGTTCCTACTTGCTGCTGGTAAACAGAGGCGTGTGGAGCAAGGAAACTTGTGCAACGTTTGACACTGCCTGGAATCAAACCCAGGTCTCTTGCTTGCGAGGCAAATGCTCTAACCACTGAGCTACAGGACTCCTCTGGGCCGGATCAGACGGGACAGCGGGCGATCTTGTCCCTGAACCTCGTGTGTGTCCTGTGTGCAGATCGAGTACTTTAACAATCAGATCATCGTGGAGCTGGTGGAGCTGCCTCACAAGGGAATCATCGCCCTCCTGGACGAGGCCTGTATCAACGTGGGCACTGTGACAGACGCCACGTTAGTGGACGTAATGAACAACAAGCTGGGCAAACACCCACACTATAACAGCCGGAAGGTGAGAGATGGGGAGGGGGGCGGGGGAGAGAGGGGGGGAGAGAGAAGGGGCAGAGGGAGTGGGAGAGAGGGAGGGGGGGAAGAAAACAAAAAACAGAAGTCGCTGGAATACTCAGCAGCATCTATGGAGAAAGGAAAGTGGGTCAACATTTCAGGTCTATGACCCTTCATCAGAACTGGAAAGAGGGGGAAACAAATGGAGAGAGAGAGAGAGATTGGGGGAGAGGGGAGGAGGGAGGGAGAGGGGGAGTGAGAGAGCGAAAGAGGTAGAGGGAGGGGAAAGAAAGGGGGAGGGTTGGGTGGTTGTAGCTGGACAAGCAGCGGGAAAGTTTGCCAGACAGCGCTCTCAATGGCCGAGCGGTGTGGGTTTAGCGGGTTACACTCCAGCAGTTACCCCAACACACACTCTGGGCCCCCCCGCCCCAAGCCTCGGCTCTCGCCAACCTGCGCCTAATACTCTCTGGAATTAGGTAAACAGGAAGTGTCCCTCCAGAGAGAGAGAGAGAGCGCATTCCATTCCAACACTCTCTCTCTGGGATTTCCATGTGTGGGCGGATGTGGAGAATTCTCAGTTGGATTTGGAGACTCTTAAACAGGTGATGGGTTTCCGCACGTGTCAGACACCCGGCTGGGCAAAAAAAAGGGGAGAGGGGGAGAGAAGGAGCGAGAAATAGAGAGGGGGGGGTAGGGGGGAGAGAGAGAAGGGGGGAGAGCGACGGGGCGAGGGGAGAGAGAAAGAAGCCTGGCCTGGCCTGGCCTCGCCTGCCCAGGGCTGTGACAATTACAGTACCGGTGATTGATCACGAGGCGGTGCCGGATCCCTGTCGCTGTCAGTGAAGTTTCCAAACATTAACATATAGAGAGAAATGACACTTTTCATAACCGACCGGAAAATATCCCAAGTTCTCTTTCTTCTTGTGAAGCATCCCGTCTTCACACGAGCGTGGGCGGCCGTGGAAACGTGCAGGGAACCCGATAGGTTGGTGACAGAATCCCCTGGAGCCCTGTAGCTCAGTGGTTAGAGCGCTCGCCTCGCGAGCGAGAGGACCCGGGTTCGATTCCTGGGCCAAACCTTGGGCAGGTTTCCTTACTCCACGCACACGCCTCTGTTCACATAGCAGTAAATAGGAAACTGGTGCTTAGTGATTGGCGGATTGCTTTCTGGGGGTAATAAACCCTAAAAAAAAGATTGGTTGAACTAATGAAATACAAAATACACAGTCACTGCACTTTACAGTATGTTCTGTGAAGCACTTTAATGCATCTCAAAAACATGACAAGGCGCTATATCAAATGCACGGATAATATTATTATTATTGTGACCTCCTGACCCTGAGGTGAGAGTGTGAGTGGTTGAGCTGTTGTGATGTGTCTGTGTTCTGTCTACAGTTGTGCCCGACTGACAAGACCATGGATTTCGACAAACATTTCCAGATTAAACACTACGCTGGACACGTCACGTAAGCTCCCAACCGTGAGATCGTTTCACTCGTATTATCCCCACTGGCGGGTCGGGGGGGAGGGGGGAGATCAGTAAACAGAAGCAATATGTCTGCAACAGCAATGTGTCTCCAACAGCAGAGTTAGAGACACAGTAGCGCTCCTCTACACTGTGTGTCCACACTCCCAGGTCAGGGTTAGAGACAGTAAAGCTCCTCTACACTGTGCGTCCACACTCCCAGGTCAGGGTTAGAGACAGTAACGCCCTCTACACTGTGTGTCCACACTCCCAGGTCAGGGTTAGAGACAGTAAAGCTCCTCTACACTGTGCGTCCACACTCCCAGGTCAGGGTTAGAGACAGTAAAGCTCCTCTACACTGTGTGTCCACACTCCCAGGTCAGGGTTAGAGACACAGTAACGCTCCTCTACACTGTGTGTCCACACTCCCAGGTCAGGGTTAGAGACACAGTAACGCTCCTCTACACTGTGTGTCCACACTCCCAGGTCAGGGTTAGAGACAGTAAAGCTCCTCTACACTGTGTGTCCACACTCCCAGGTCAGGGTTAGAGACACAGTAACGCTCCTCTACACTGTGTGTCCACACTCCCAGGTCAGGGTTAGAGACACAGTAACGCTCCTCTACACTGTGTGTCCACACTCCCAGGTCAGGGTTAGAGACAGTAAAGCTCCTCTACACTGTGTGTCCACACTCCCAGGTCAGGGTTAGAGACAGTAAAGCTCTCTCTACACTGTGTGTCCACACTCCCAGGTCAGGGTTAGAGACAGTAAAGCTCCTCTACACTGTGTGTCCACACTCCCAGGTCAGGGTTAGAGACAGTAAAGCTCCTCTACACTGTGTGTCCACACTCCCAGGTCAGGGTTAGAGACAGTAAAGCTCCTCTACACTGTGTGTCCACACTCCCAGGTCAGGGTTAGAGACAGTAAAGCTCCTCTACACTGTGTGTCCACACTCCCAGGTCAGGGTTAGAGACAGTAAAGTTCCTCTACATGGCTATCCACACTTCACATTTGTGGAGTCCTGTAGTGCAGTGGTTAGAGCACTTGCCTTACAAGCGAGAGGACCCGGGTTCAATCGCAGGCGGGGAGAAACCTTAGGCATATTTGCTTACTCCACATCTGCGGGCGAATGCAGCAGCCACTCCCGCACACAGCCACTCCCGCACACAGCCACTCCCGCACACAGCCACTCCCGCACACAGCCACTCCCGCACACAGCGACTCCTTGCAAACAGCCATCAAGTGAGTGGCCAATTTTTGTTTGTGGGCTTATTGTCCAGGACACCAGGAGGGAGACACTCTCTTCTCTTTTCAAATAGCGAATCTTTAATATCCACCTGAACATCTTTAATATCCACCCGAAGGACAGTTTCTCCAACAATGCAACGCTCCCCCCCCCCCCCCCCCCCAGTGCTGCACTGGAGCATCAGCTTCGGCTGTGTGATTCCATGTCCCAAAGTGGGGCTTGAACCCACAACCCTCTGGGGTGCGAGCGCTACCCTGAACACTCTGAGAGGCTATTCCTACCTGGAGGGCACTACATTAATGTAAGGTATTGTTGTTACCAACTGAGCCGGACTGACTCCTTAAGATGTGAAGTTGACTGGAACGTCCTCTTTTGCTGGTAACAGATACTCAGTGGAAGGTTTCATTGAAAAGAACAAAGATACACTTTACCAGGATTTCAAACGCTTAATGTACAACAGGTGAGTTTCTTGCTCTGTCCTTTCACCTGTTATTGTACCGTCACATTGTCCACCTCCGACTGTACCTTACTCCAAACACAGCCAAAACCCTCATCAGTGCGTTTCTCACCTCCCACCTTGACTTCCAACTCCCAACTCCCTCCTCCCGTCTCCCAGCTCCACTATCCACAAAATCCAGTTAATCCAGAATTCCGCCACCCGCATACTCACCCGTAATAAACTCCGTACTCCCACCCTACCGTCCTCGCCAGGCTCCACTGGCTCCCAATCACCAAACGGATCGATTTCAATATCCTCTCACTCATCTTTGAATCCCTTCATGCCCCTGACACCTCCCTCCCTCTCCGACCTGCTTAGTCCGCACTTCACCACCCACTGCCTCCGCTCAACTGGCTCCGACCTCCGGCCTGTCCCTCGTGCTCTCAGTTCTACCTCCGCTGGCTATATTTCAGCCATTATGCCCCAAGACTCTGGAACACTCTCCCTCCATCCCTCCACCTTGCTCCCTCCTTCCCCGTTTTCAGATCAACCTGAAGACCTTCCTCTATGACACCTCCCCCAAACTCGGCGTCAGGCTCCACCACTGATAAGGGCTCTGAGACGCTGCCCAGCTTGATGTAAATGCAAGTTGTTGTTGTTGACAATTTCTCCTCTTGGTTGATAGTGCAAATCCTGTGCTGGCGGGTATGTGGCCGGAGGGAGAGCTCAGTATCACAGAGGTCACCAAACGGCCTTTGACAGCTGCGACCCTCTTCAAGAACTCCATGATCGCCCTTGTTGATAACCTGGCCTGTAAGGTAGGGGGCACTCACGCCTTCCTCCCCCACCCCCCTCCACCACTGACTTCATCAATATCTGGCCTTAGCTCCGAGCGGGTGGCCAGACTTGTGCAGACACAAGTGCAAGTTGTTGTTGTCTTATACAGTAAAACTTATCTTTATAGATCGTCTAATCACCTAAGTCATACATTCACCCGAGTACCATTCAGTTTCCTATCAAAACCGCTTAGATTTCTTTACACGACTCGTATTAGTCACCTCCTAACTTGAAATGCTGTTCCCCTACAATCCATTACTCCGCACTCACCAATGTAGTTGATTGGTGCATCGCTTTCCGGGGTAATAATCCCTTTCAATAAATAAATGAATGAATAAATAAATAATTTGCTCACTCAATCCACGACGGTTGGTGGGACAATTGGCTGCCGCGTTTCACCCACAAAATACACTTTACAATATATTCTGTGAGGCACTTTGAGACTCTCAACGATGTGATAAGGCGCTGCATCAAATGCAAGGATTATTATTATTATATTTAGGATCTCCCCCTCACCCTTACATTACTTCCCTGACTACAGGAGCCGTACTATATCCGCTGTATCAAACCCAACGAGCAGAAGTCTCCTGTGCACTTTGACTACGAGCGGTGTAAACACCAGGTGGAGTACCTGGGTTTGCTGGAGAATGTGCGGGTGCGGAGAGCGGGATTCGCCTACCGTCAGCCCTACCAGAGATTCCTGCAGAGGTAACAGCAGGCCGTGCGTTCCCTGTCCCTCTCAAGGCAAAACCTCCCAAAGCGCTTCACGGCATTCACCGTAAAGTGGAGTGACTGTGTTTTATTAGTGAACGTGGCAGCCAATTTGTGGAATCCCGTTGCATAGTGGTTAGTACATTTAGCTTCTTCACTGCTGGGGGAATTACATTGAGTTTCCTAACATTACTGAAGTGGTCTCATGAGGCACTGTGTTAGATTGCTAACACAGTAAAGCCTCTTTTCCTCAAATTTGATATAGCGCCTTTAACATCAGGATTGGGGGGGAAATCTCAAAGCATCTCAGAATACAGCACTCTGTGTGTATCTAATCTATTATACATGTGGAGTCCTGTAGTGTAGGGGTTAGAGCCATCGCCTCACAAGTGAGAGGACCTGGATTCAATTCCCAGTCTTGGCAAAACTTTTGGCAAGTTTCCTTATTCCACACGTCTCTGTTTACCAGCAGTAAGTAGGAACCTGGTTGTTAGTCAACTGGTGTTGTCACTTTCCGGGTTAATAAACCCTTCAAAAAAATAATAACTCGGTCACTCAATCCACGTCTGTTTGTGGCACATCGCTGTGTGCAATTGGCTAATGAATTTCGCCCACAAAATGCACAGTCACTAAACTTTACAGTGTATTCTGTCAGCGCTTGCAGACGTTTAGAAGACGTGATCAGGCGCTATATCAAATGCAAGGATTAATATTATTGTTGTTACCATTGATGTTGTTGTTGTGTCAGGTATAAGATGACGACTGAGTACACGTGGCCTAACCACTTACTGTCCACGGACATGGAGGCCACTCAGGTGGTGGTGGAGCACCATGGCCTGGAGCAGGACGTGGCCTATGGGAATAGCAAGATCTTCATCCGCACCCCACGCACCCTCTTCCAGCTGGAGGAGGAGCGGGCGGCCATCATCCCCATGATCGTGATCTTCTTACAAAAGGTTTGCCTCTCACCTTCACATCATCCACCGTCTCACTCCTCCCCCCCACCCGCCCCCACCCGCCCACCCCGTGGAGAGCGCTATATAAGTGCAACATCAGATGTTGTTGTACACTCAGCAGGTATTGTCCTGCTTCACTTCCCCCGCTCTACCCGGCCCACCTTTGGCGGGTGGGTTTTCAGCTGTTCTGCTCCTACTCTCTGGAACTCCATCCCGAGTCTCTCCACCTCACGCCCTCCGCCTCGCTGCCTCCCTCACATCGTTCAAGGCACTTCTCAAGACCTTCCCATGGCACCGTTGTAAAGGAGAAGCGAGTTTCTCTCTCCTGGTATCCTGACTGACAAACAAAATTGGTGGCTCACTCCATGGCTATTTGTGGGGCATGGCTGTGCAAAGTGGCTGCCGTGTTTGCCTACAAATACACAGTCACTCCATTTCACAGTAAATCCAGTGAAGAGCTTTGAGATACCCTTCCGATCTGATAACGAGATGCATCAATTGCAAGCACAAATGAACTATTGATTATATTTTTATTGTACGAGGATAAAAGACCAAGCTCTATCTAGTTTGCTACCATCCTGGTAGTCTCATGCTATAATAATGGAGATGTTGACAGCAATTAATTCTATATGGATTAGTTTACAACAGAGTGGGAAGGTTTGGGAAACTTATACATTATTATTGTGTAATATTACACAACAACACTATATTAAATTTGTATATTGACTTTCATGTGGGAGGACGTCCCAAGGCACTGGACAATTAAGAGTTTGCGCCTGAGCTGGGGGTTGGGATCAGGAGCTGTGGAGGGCAAGGAAGGTGGGGGTAGGAGTTTGGCTGGAGGCACGGTCAAAGAGGAGGGTCTGGAGACGGGTCTTGAAGGAGGCAAGGGAGGGGGGCGAGATGGAGGGATTCAGGGATTGTTGTTATTATTATATTATTATCTGCATTTTATGGAGGAGGGTTGAGGAGTCCAGCGAGCAGAGAGTTAGTTAGAATCATAGAATCTTACAGCACAGAAGGAGGCCATTCGGCCTGTGCCGGCTTTTTGGAAGAGCCACCAACTCGTCCCACTCCCCCGCTCTTTCCCCGTATCTTAGCAAAGTTTTCCTTTTCAAGTACCTGTGTAATTCCCCTTTGAAAGTTGTTATTGAATCTGTTCCCATTCCCATTGTTGCTATACAGTAATGGCCACGATTGCTTTGTGTTGTTGCTGTTTGCGGGGGAGCAGATGTGGCGAGGAGCACTGGCGAGGAAGAGATACCGGGAGGTGCGAGCGGTCTACCTCATCATGAACTGTTACCGGAGGTTCAAGGTGAGAGCTCACCTCTTGGTGGTGGTGAGGACCTTCCAGGGTGTCAGGAGCCTGGCCGACTATGGCAAGAGTCTGCTGTGGCCAGAACCCCCAACCGTCCTCCTTGGCTTCCAGAACAATCTACACAATCTCTTCAACAGGTACCACAGCCTTTCATTCTCTTATTAGACAGTGAAACTCACTTCAGTTGTATTGTGGGGTCCTGTAGCTCAGGGGTTAGAGCCCTCGCTTGGCATGTGAGAGGACCCGGGTTTGATTCCCGTTAGGGCAAAACATTGGGCAAGTTTCCTTACTCCACACACTGTTTACCAGCAGTGAGTAGGAACCTGGTTGTTAGTTGATTAGCGGATCACTTTCTGGGGGTAATAATCTCTTCAAAAAAATTATAATAATTTGGTCACTCAACCCACGACTGTTTGTGGGACACTGTTCTACGCAATTGGTTGCCATGTTTCACCCACAAAATATACAGTCACTCCACTTGACAGTATATTCTGTGAAGCGCTTTGCGATATCTTGAAGACATGAAAAGGAGCAATATCATATGCAAGGATTATAATAATAATAGAGGTTTGATGCCTACTGGGTAGGTTGGTGCTAATCATGTGACCCTCTCCTCAAGATGGCGAGCGCGACAGATTGTGAAGAACATTCCACCGTCGGACATGCCGCAGATCAAGGCCAAGGTGGCTGCCATGGACGTGCTTCAGGGACTGAGGAAGGACTGGGGCTTTCAGAGAACCTGGGAACACAACTACCTCTCCTCTGTACGTACCCACTCCTGCCTCCTGCAGGTCCCTTGTCACCTCCACTCCGCCATTGGTGGCCGCGCTTTCAGTCATTACCCCCCGAAACTCTGGAACACACTCCCTCTATCCCTCCGCTTTGCCCCTTCCTTCTCCATCTTCAGGTCATGCCTGAAGATGTTCCTCTTCGACCGTGCCTATGGTCACCTCCCCTCTCCCCCGACTCAGCATCGAGCTCCGGCTCTGGGACGCTACCCTGTGTGAGGGGCGCTGTGTAAATGCAAGTTGTTGTTGTTGTATCAGGCTCCCTAAACCTCATAGCCAGGCCCAGTTGTCGGCTCATACTCTCGCTCTGGGGTCAGGATGTTGTGGGTTCGAGTCCCCACCTCTATGTTGGGGATTCTGAGGTCACAGTCCAGGCTGACGCTCCAGCCCACTCCTGGGGGGAGAGAGCGCTGCAATGTCAGAGACGCCGTCCTTCAGACGAGATGTTCAACCTCACTCCCCGTCTGTGTCGTGTCCGACACTCGGCTGATCACGGTGATGGGTTTCCATGTGTGTCAGACAACGGCTGATCAATCCAGTGGAAAGAGCCTGTGGATTTGTCTGGTGAGAGTGGCCTGGCATAGAGTGCAAGTCAAGGGAGAGAGTGATTCACACTCTTAGCGCTAGAGACGTCTTCCCACTTCTTAAAATAAACCGGAGGCGACAGGAAGGAGGAGAAGCCTAACAGGTTTAGCACGTGGTGTGTCCCAGCACCGGGACCATCTGCCAGCTCTTCATTAAGGAGGATGTGTTCTCTGCCAAGTGCTGTACAGGGAGATGATTATGAGTCTCCGATTTCATTACCAAACAATCCTCCTCACTTTCAATCTGACGCCCGTCACTACCCAACCCCTCAAACACTTCACTGGGAATCGACGTCACGTGTGGTCACAGCCCATCAACCTGCCCGCTCCCTCCGCTCAGCGGGCTCCGGCCTGCTCCACGCCCCCCACCCGGCCCACCCCACCATCGGCAGTCGGGCCTTCAGCCTCTCTGCTGCCGCCCTCTGGAACTGCATCCCACAGTCCCTTTGCTTTGCCCCCTTCCTCACCTCCTTCAAGACCCGTCTCAAGCGCCTGAGGACATCCTCCTGACATGAAAGTCACTGTGTAAATGCGATGTGTTGTTGTTGTCAATGACATCCAACCCCGTCCCTGCGCGACTCCGAGGCCTTATCCTGCATCACTGTTGTTATTGTAAAACGAGGCGACTAATAAAAATGGCCACCGCACGGCCATCGGGTCACTGCAATGTCACTGCCAGTGCGGTGCTGCACCGCGGGACCAAAACCCCTCCATCCCACAGCCGCTTCCAGACACCGTCACCCTGTTCTCAGAGGCCAAGCCACGTGCAAAACACGTGTAAACCGTGTGTGCACAGGGAATTGTCACGAGTCCTTCTCATTGGCTCTCAGCTGCATCATTTAGTGCCCCCGCGATCCCACACTTGTGTTTGCCCCGGGTTTGCACATGGTTTGAACACTATGCGTCAGAAGCAGAGTTTACGTTTGATTTGGACTTGCTTTACACGAAGCCTACACATGTTGTCACACAAGGCTAACATGGAGTCCTGTAGCTCAGTGGTTAGAGCACTCGCTTTGCGAGCGAGAGACCTGGGTTCGATTCCCAGCAGGTCAGGGCGAAACCTTGGGCAAGTGTCCTTACTCCACACAGAGCCTAATAATAATCCCTCAAAATAATAAATTGGTCACTTCAATCCACGACTGTTTATGGGACGCTGCTGTGCACAATTGGTGCTGCGTTTCGCCCACAAATATACAGTCAATTCACTTTACAGTCTATTCTGTGAAGGGTTTTGAGATGTCTCAAAGTCGTGATAAGGCGCTTTTTCAAATGCAAGAATTATTATATCAGTTTGTACACACTCCCTCGCTCTCTCAGAATTGACTGTGGACTCACGATCGCTCTCACTCTCGGGGTGACTGGGCTCTCGCTCTTGGGTGATTGGGGTCTCGCTCTTGGGGTGATTGGGGTCTCGCTCTTGGGGTGATTGGGGTCTCGCTCTTGGGGTGATTGGGGTCTCGCTCTTGGGGTGATTGGGGTCTCGCTCTTGGGGTGTTTGGGGTCTCGCTCTTGGGGTGATTGGGGTCTCGCTCTCTCCTCAGACGAAGGATAACCCACAGCTGATGACACAGTTCGGGGCTGCGGTTCGGGAGCTCAAACAGAGAGACAAGTTCCGAGTCATCCTCTTCTCCAGTCACGTGAGGAAGGTAAAGATTTGTGTCTGTGTCTGTGTGTGTAGGGGGTCTGTCTGTCTGTGTGTGTGTGTGTAGGGGGTCTGTCTGTCTGTCTGTGTGTGTGTAGGGGGTCTGTCTGTCTGTGTGTGTGTGTGTGTAGGGGTCTGTCAGGGTGGGTAGCAAGGTGTGTATGTGGTGTTTGTGTATAGGGGGGGGTGTCTGTGTGTGTGTAGGGGTCTGTCTGTCTGTGTGTGTGTGTGTGTAGGGGGTCTGTCTGTCTGTCTGTGTGTGTGTGTAGGGGTCTGTCTGTCTGTGTGTGTGTGTGTGTCAGGGTGTGGGGGGGTTGGTGTGTAGGGGGTGTCAGGGTGGGTAGCAAGGTGTGTATGTGTGTTTGTGTATAGGGGGGGTGTGTCAGTGTGTGTGTATTAGGGTGGAGGCAGTCTGTGTCTAGGGGTCTGCCTGTGTGTGTCAGGGTGAGGGTTAGTGTGTGTGTGTGTGTCAGGGTAGGGGTCAGTGTGTGTGTGTGTGTGTGTGTGTCAGGGTAGGGGTCAGTGTGTCAGGGTGGGGGTTAGTGTGTGTGTGTGTGTCAGGGTAGGGGTCAGTGTGTGTGTGTGTCAGGGTGAGGATCAGTGTGTGTGTGTGTCAGGGTTGGGGTCAGTGTGTGTGTGTGTGTGTCAGGGTAGGGGTCAGTGTGTGTCAGGGTAGGGGTCAGTGTGTGTGTGTGTCAGGGTGACGATCAGTGTGTGTGTGTGTCAGGGTAGGGGTCAGTGTGTGTGTGTCAGGGTAGGGGTCAGTGTGTGTGTGTGTCAGGGTGGGGGTCAGTGTGTGTGTGTGTCAGGGTGGGGGTCAGTGTGTGTGTCAGGGTGGGGGTCAGTGTGTGTGTGTGTCAGGGTGGGGGTTGGGGTATGTGTGTGGGGGATTAGGGTGTGTCAGCGTGGATTGTGGGAGTATGTGGATGTGTGTGTGGAGGGCTGTATGTGGGTGGGGGGATTTTGTGTGTGTTTGTGTCGGGGGGTGGGGGGGATGTGTGTGTGTGGGGAGAATGTGTGTGTACGGGGATGTGTGTTTGGTGTGGGGGGGGGGGGTGTGGGGGGGGATGTATGTGGTGGGGGATTGTGTATGTGGGGGGATGTGTGTGTATGTGTGGGTGGGGATGTGTGTGTGGGGGGGGATGTGTGTGGGTGGTGGGGGTGGGGGATGTGTGGGTGGGTTGGGAATGTGTGTGGGGGGGGAATATGGGTGTGGGGGGATGTGTGTGTATGTGTGGGTGGGGGATGTGTGTGGGGGAGATGTGTGTGTGGGTGGGGAATGTGTGTGTGGGTGGGGATGCGTGTGTGGGGTGTGTGTGTGGGGGGTGGGGGATATGTGTGTGGGTGGGGAATGTGTGTGTGGGTGGGGGATGTGTGTGTGTGAGAGGGTGGGAGATGTGTGTGTGGGTGGGGGATGAGTGTGGGGGGGATGTGTGTGTGTGTGAGGGGGTGGGGGATGTGTGTGTGGGGGGGATGTGTGTGGGTGGGGGATATGTGTGTGGGGGTGGGGGATGTGGGGTGGGGTGGGGGTGTGTGTGTGTGGGTGGGGGATGTGTGTTTGGGTGAGGGGATATGTGTGTGGTGGGGAGGGGGTGGGGGATGTGTGTGTGGATGGGGAATGTGTGTGTGTGGGGGATGTGTGTGTGTGGGTGGGGGGTGTGTGTGGGTGGGAATGTGTGTGGGTGGCGGATGTGTGTGTGGGTGGGGGGTGTGTGTGGGTGGGGGTGTGTGGGGGTGTGGGTGGGGGTGTGGGGTGTGTGTGTGTGTGTGTGTGTGTGGGTGGGCGTGTGTGTGGGTGGGGGGTGGGTGTGGGTGTGGGTGGGTGTGTGTGTGGGTGGGGTGTGTGTGGGTGGGGAGTGTATATGGGTGGGTGTGTGGGGGATGTGTGTGTGGGGGGATGTGTGTGTGTGGGTGGGTGTGTGTGTGTGGGTGGGTGGGGGTGTGTGTGGGGTGTGTGTGTGGGTGTGTGTGGGTGGGTGGGGGTGTGTGTGGGGGTGTGTGTGGGTGTGGGTGGGTGTGTGGGGTGTGTGTGTGTGTGTGTGTGTGTGGGTGGCGTGTGTGTGGGTGGGGGTGGGTGTGGTGTGGGTGGGGTGTGTGTGTGGGTGGGGTGTGTGTGTGGGTGGGGGGTGTGTGTGGGTGGGGGGTGTGTGTGTGTGGGTGGGTGTGTGGGGTGTGTGTGTGTGTGTGTGTGTGTGGGTGGGCGTGTGTGTGGGTGGGGGGTGGGTGTGGGTGTGGGTTGGGGGTGTGTGGAGTTAGGGTGGGTGTAGCTATGACATTGCTGTGTTACAGATTAATAGGTTTAACAAGTGTGCGGACAGAGCCATCCTCATCACTGACCAACACCTGTACAAACTCCAGCCCAACAAATGCTACCACAACATGAAGACCTTCCCCCTGCAGAGCGTGAGTATCAGCCCTCCACCCACCCACCCTCCCCGAGACCCCAACACTAACCCAAACTCTTGTCTCAACCACTTCCCGGTGAACCCCAATCCTTCCCCTCCAGAGTGGGAGTATGCCAGACCCCCACGTCAGAGACTTCGACCATAACCAGAGGCCCCACCCCATGGCAGGGCCCTGTTATAGAGACTCTCCACCAGACGCTGTTATAGTTTCTCCGTTCGGATCCCGTTAAAGAGGGAATCCGAACATCAGGATCCAAGTGGAGGAGCCTTCTCCTGATTCCCGGGCAGACAAAACCTTAGGCAAGTTTCCCTACTCCACACCCCTCTGTTTACTTAGCAATGAGTAGGAACCCGGTTGTTAGTTGATTGGTGGATCCCTTTCCGGGGGTAATAATCCCTTCAAAAGAAAAATTGGTCTCTCAATCCATGACTGTTTGTGCGACATTGCTGTATGCAATTGACTGCTGCATTTTGGCCACAAAAATGTACAGTCATTCCACTTGACAGTATATTCTGTGAAGCGCTTTGAGACATCTTTGACTTGATAAGGCGCTGTATCATATGCAAGGATTATTGTATTATTATTAATAATAATGGATTGATGCCTGCTTGGTAGGTTGGTGTTAATCATAGAATCATACAGCACAGAAAGAGGCCATTCAGCCCTTGGTGTCCCCGCCGGCTCCTAAAAGAGCAATCCAACTCAATCCCACCGGCCCACGTTCTCCCCATAGCCCTGCAATCCTGTCCTCCCCAAATACCCATCTACTTCTCTCTTAAAAGTTGTTATTGAATCGGCTTCCACTACCCTTTCAGGTCATTCATTCCAGATCCCAACCCCTCGCTGGTGAAAACATGTTTCCTAACCTCCCCTCTGTTTCTTTTAACAACTATATCAAACGCAAGGATTATTATTATTATAACTATCTTAAATCAGTGAGACCTTGGGTTACTGACCCACATGTGTCCCTCTCAAGAGCGCGACAGATCGTGAAGAATAAGAGTGTGATAAGACGTTATATCAAATGCAGGGATTATTATTATTATCTCATTGCTCGACAGTCCAACTGCACTACCCCCTGGTGGACAGTCATAGTCACTGACACATGGGTGGGAGTACAGAGGGTCAGACCTGCCCAGCAAAGACCAAGGAAGGACCTCACTGGTGGGAGTGGGAGGGGAAGGAAGAAAGAACTTTCATTCGACATCCGTGAAAATAAAAATGTGTGTCAACATTTCTGATTTTTTGGGAGTCGGCCGGTGTCGGACACACACAGAAACCCATCACCTGCTTAAGAGACTCCAAACCACGCTGAGAATTCCATACATCCCACCTCCACATGGAAACCCCAGAGAGAGATGGTTGGAATAGAATGCGCTCTCTCTCTCTGGCTCTCTCTGGAGGGATGCATCCCGCTTACCTAATTCCGGAGAGTATTAGGTTGGCAAGAGCCAAGGCTTGGGGAGCCCAGAGTATGTGTTGGGGTAACTGCTGGAGTCTAACCAGCTAAACCCACAGAGTTTGCCATTAAGAGTGCTGTCCGGTAAGCTTTCCTGCTGCTTGTCCAGCGAGGACCACCCTCCCTGTTAGGGCTTCGGTTTGCAGCATTAATAGGAGCTGAGGGGTAGGATTCCTGTCCCCAGTGACTGGTCTGATTTAAGTACTAAATAGGGGGGGAAATGGTCAGGGTGAGGGAGGGAGGGAGGGAGCGAGGAGGGGGGAAATGGTCAGGGTGAGGGGAGGGATGGGAGGGAGCGAGAAGTGGAAGAGAGTCGAGAGGGGAGCTGAAGGCACACTGAAGGTACACTGACTCTCTCTGTACACTGACTCTCTCTGTACACTGACTCTCTCTGTACATTGACTCTCTGTACACTGACTCTCTCCGTACACTGACTCTGTCTGTACACTGACTCTCTGTACACTGACTCTCTGTACACTGACTCTCTGTGTACACTGACTCTCTGTACACTGACTCTCTGTACACTGACTCTCTGTACACTGACTCTCTGTACATGACTCTCTGTGTACACTGACTCTCTGTACACTGACTTTTTCTTTTTTGTTGATGGTGTGGTGTTGATGGTGTTTTTGTTGACGGTGTTGGTGTTGATGTTAGTGGTGATGGTGTTGTTGATGGTGTGGGGTTGATGGTGTTGGTGTTGTTGATGTTGTTGTTGGTGTTTGTTGATGGTGATGGTGTGGATGATGTTGGTGTTGTTGTTGGTGTTGTTGATAGTGTTGTTGATGATGTTGTTGGTGTTGTTGATGGTGGTGTTGGTGATGGTGTGGTGTGGATGATGTTGGTGTTGGTGTTGTTGTTGGTGTTGTTGATAGTGTTGTTGATGATGTTGTTGGTGTTGTTGATGGTGGTGTTGGTGATGGTGATGGTGTGGATGATGTTGGTGTTGGTGTTGGTGTTGTTGATAGTGTTGTTGATGATGTTGTTGGTGTTGTTTTGGTGGTGTTTGGTGATGGTGTGGATTTATGTTGGTGTTGATGGGTTGTTGTGTTGTTGATAGTGTTGTTGATGATGTTGTTGGTGTTGTTGGTGGTGGTGTTGGTGATGGTGTGGGGTTGATGATGTTGGTGTTTGATAGTGTTGTTGATGATGTTGTTGGTGTTGTTGATGGTGATGGTGTGGATTGATGTTGGTGTTGTTGTTGGTGTTGTTGATAGTGTTGTTGATGATGTTGTTGGTGTTGTTGATGATGTTGTTGGTGATGGTGTGGATGATGTTGGTGTTGTTGTTGGTGTTGTTGATAGTGTTGTTGATGATGTTGTTGGTGTTGTTGATGGTGGTGTTGGTGATGGTGTGGATGATGTTGGTGTTGATGGTGTTGTTGATGATGTTGTTGGTGTTGTTGTGGTGGTTTGGTGATTGTGGATTATGTTGGTGTTGATGGTGTTGTTGTGTTGGTTTTGATGTGTGGTGTTGATGGATGTTGTGGGTGTTGTTGATGTGTTGTTTGATGGTGATGGTTGTTGGTGTTGATGGTGTTGTTGTTGTTGATAGTGTTGTTGATGATGGTGTTGGTGTGGATGATGTTGGTGTTGATGGTGTTGTTGATTATGTTGTTGGTGTTGTTGATGGTGATGGTGTGGATGATGTTGGTGTTGTTGTGGTGTTGTTGATGTGTTGTTGATGATGTTGTTGGTGTTGTTGGATGGTTGGTGTGGTGTTGTGGTGGTGGATGTTGGTGTTGATGGTGTTGGTGGTTGTTGATGGTGGTGGTGATGGTGGTTGATGGTGTTGATGTGTGATGGTGTGTTGTGGATGATGTTTGATGGGGTGTTGATGTGGTTGATGGTGTTGATGGTGTGGTGTTGTTGATGTGTTGTTGATGTGTTGGTGTGTTGGTGATGGTGTGGATGATGTTGGTGTTGATGGTGTTAGTGTTGTTGATGGTGGTGTTGGTGGTTGTGTCGTGTGGATGATGTTGGTGTTGATGGTGTTGTTGTGTTGATGATGTTGTTGGTGTTGTTGATGGTGGTGTTGGTGATGGTGTGGATGATGTTGGTGTTGATGGTGTTGTTGTTGTGGTGGTGGTGGTTGTTGGTGTGGATGATGTTGGTGTTGTTTGGTGTGTTGTTGTTGATGATGTTGTTGGTGTTGTGATGGTGTGTTGGTGATGGTGTGGATGATGTTGGTGTTGATGGTGTTGTTGTTGATAGTGTTGTTGATGATGGTGTTGGTGTGGATGATGTTGGTGTTGATGGTGATGGTGTTGTTGTTGTTGATAGTGTTGTTGATGATGGTGTTGGTGTGGATGATGTTGGTGTTGATGGTGTTGTTGTTGTTGATGGTGGTGTTGGTGGTGTTGTTGGTGTGGATGATGTTGGTGTTGATGGTGTAGAGTTGTTGATGGTGGTGTTGATGATGGTGTTGGTGTGGATGATGTTGGTGTTGATGGTGTTGTTGTTGTTGATAGTGTTGTTGATGATGGTGTTGGTGTGGATGATGTTGGTGTTGTTGATGATGTTGTTGGTGTTGTTGATGGTGGTTGTTGATGATGGTGTTGGTGTTGATGATGTTGATGGTGGTGTTGGTGATGGTGTGGATGATGTTGGTGTTGATGGTGTTAGTGTTGTTGATGATGGTGTTGGTGTGGATGATGTTGATGGTGATGGTGGTGTTGATGATGGTGTTGGTGTGGATGATGTTGGTGTTGATGGTGTTAGTGTTGTTGATGGTGGTGTTGGTGGTGTTGGTGATGGTGTGGATGATGTTGTGTTGATGGTGTTGTTGTTGTTGATAGTGTTGTTGATGATGGTGTTGGTGTGGATGATGTTGTGTGTTGATGATGTTGTTGGTGTTGTTGATGGTGGTGTTGATGTGTGTTGGTGGTGATGTTGATGGTGGTGTGTGTGTTGATGGTGTGGTGTTGATGGTGGTGGTGTGTGTTGTGATGGTGTGGTGTGTGATGGTTGTGGTGATGGTGGTGTGGTGTGGTTGATGGTGTTAGTGTTGATGGTATTGGTGTTGATGGTGTTGGTGTTGATGGTGTTAGTGTTGTTGATGGTGTTGTTGATGGTGTTGTTGATGGTGTTGGTGTTGATGGTGTGGTGTTGATGGTGTTGTTGATAGTGTTGGTGTGGATGATGTTGGTGTTGATGGTGGTGTTGTTGCTAATGGTGTTGTTGGTGTTATTGATGGTGTTGTTGGTGTTGTTGATGGTGTGGTGTGGTGTTGGTGGTGTTGTGTTGATGGTGGTTGTTGGTGGTGTTGTTGGTGTGGATGATGTTGGTATTGATGGTGATGTTGTTGGTGTTGTTGATGGTGTGGTGTGGATGATGTTGGTGTTGATGGTGTTGTTGTTGTTGATAGTGTTGTTGATGATGGTGTTGGTGTGGATGATGTTGGTGTTGATGGTGTTGTTGTTGTTGATAGTGTTGTTGATGATGGTGTTGGTGTGGATGATGTTGATGGTGATGGTGTTGTTGTTGTTGATGGTGGTGTTGATGATGGTGTTGGTGTGGATGATGTTGGTGTGGATGATGGTGTTGTTGGTGTTGTTGATGGTGGTGTTGATGATGGTGTTGGTGTGGATGATGTTGGTGTTTATGGTGTTAAGTGTTGTTGATGATGGTGTTGGTGTGGATGATGTTGATGGTGATGGTGTTAGTGTTGTTGATGGTGGTGTTGG